TTGAGCAGTTATTCGACATTCGTCTGTTCAAGGTTTGTTTTGTTCCCTCTTTTTGTTCGAGATGAGTCAGTAGACCTACGAGGCCGAGGCTGCTCTGCTCCGAACCTGGCGGAAGAGCGAGGCGTTTTCTGAGAAGAAAATGATGTCGAGAAAGGACCAGTTGTTTGAGTGGGTCATCGGCCAACTGGAGCCTGTTGACTTGTGAGTGTTGTGTTGTCGTCAAGAGCCCCAAAAAGGACAACCAGTATGACGAAGTCAGGAGAAACACAGCTGCGATGCGGACTTTTCTTGCCTGATCAATGACACTACAACTGAAAATGGCTTCAAATTCGGAAAGAAACAACAACGATCGTGCACGCGTGGACCTACATGTAGTACCTTTCGTCTTCTTGTAATCAAAAATCAATGAAAAATTCGAAAACTTTGTCCGACAATTTTTTTGTATAATAAGCAAAAGGCCGGTTTCCGTGGGAATCCGTGTCGTCATTGAGTTTTCCTGGTGGTTTTGTGACGTAGACAAATGCGTCAAGCCGCGGCAGTCATGAGCTGCAAAAAAAACAAAACACTGTGTGACCCCACGTCTCCGTCAAGTGCTGCGGCTTGACGCTGCGTCCAGCTTCAAACTGCCGTAGTGTGACCGAGGCCTTAGCGGCATTGATACGGTTCTCGATGTGACTTCCAGATCCCAAGAGACTTCCAAGTAGTTTCGTCTTTCTCCATGTGTCATCATCCTGGGAAGGAGTTACAAATTGAGTTTTTGCTAGATTTAATCTCAGGTCGTCCTGGGCGAAAATTGGCTCACATTTCGCTGCAGCGGCCACCACAGCATCACGATCAGTGTCATGTATTGTGGTGTCATCTGCATACTGTGAGAAATGAGTAGGCAGGCATGAAGGGGAGGTGCAGGCTGCTCTCACCTGCCTCATCGCACCTTCTGCATAGACAATGAACATGGCCGGAGACATCGGGTCCCCCTGAACCACGCCGATATTGGTCGAGAAGGGAGCACTGAGCTGCCCAGCAATCTTCACCCTAGCTGTCGTATCGGAGACTAACAATTTCATCATTGAGGTGGGTGCACCTGAATCGGCCATTCGACCGAGCGCCTTGCCACGGTTCACTTTGTCGAATGCACCGCTGAAATCGAGTAATGCTGCCGAATAGTTCCAATTTCCGCTTCAAAGCTCTCTCACACAGAGACCGCACACAGAACACCCCATCAGCTGTTGAGCGACCTGGTCTGAAACCGGCTTGTGACTCATCCACAAACTGCTGAATATTGGTGCTAATTCTCTTTGTGATTATGGTTGTAAGGACTTTCCGGACCACTGACAATAGCATTTCTGGTCTGTAACTCTTCGGGGCTCCTTTCGGTTTGCCATTATTGGCACAATAATTCCAGTAGTCAGGTCTGCTGGGCAGTGCTGTAATTGGCGAGTGACATTGAAAAATGAGGACAGCCAACCAGCTAGAATGTCAGAACCTGCACGCAGCACCTCACTGCTAATTCCATCCTGACCGACTGCTCCGCCTACTTTTTGCTTCTGTATCGCTGCACGAACGTGTTCTGTTGAGAAAGTCTCGTCATCCCTGACACCAGTCGCCGGCTGATGAACTGGTTTGCACGGCATGCTGGAATCGTAGAAAATTGATGAATAATATTCACCGAATTTCTATAGGTTCCAACCAATGTCTGGGATGATCCTTCCATCAGCATCAGCCAGTTGGATGGGTGGTGTATTGTCACCCGCTCTCAGTTTGCGTACGTTGTTAATTGCCTGGAAGTAAGACCTTGGGTCAGGCCTAAGTGCATCGGTGTCCTTTGCCCGCTTTTGCCAGAGGAAGTCGCCTTCCTTCCGCAGGATGGAGCGCATTTCATGGAGAAGTTTCGATCTTTGAGTTTGCAAAGACGACCGCTTATCGATGTCTGTTGTAGCTTGAATTTGTATGTGCAATTCCTTCTGCTGCTTGGAAAGCTTGGCCACAATAGGGTTGGTACTTCAAACTGCCTTCTGTCCAGATGGTCTTATCCCAAAAGACTGTTTCGCTGCTGAGTGGACTGTGGACACAAACTCTCCCCATGTTGCATCTGCTTTCGAGCATGTCATATCAGCGGCTTTGAATTCTGGTATGGAGTCCAGCAGCAGGTCCCGAAACCTGCCAGCAGTTTCTGTTGATGGTGAATTGTACTTGATGAAGCAAGGCTCGGATGATTTCTTCCCAGCACGAACCGTATGAAAGGAGAGCTGGAAATCGACAATCACTGGCCGGTGATCCGAGCGCGTCATTAACCCACCATAATTATGACCTTGCATTTGTTATTGAGCAGATGCTTCTTTTCTTGATGATTACATTATCTATCATGTTCCTCACTGGTTCTCCGTTGGATCGGGTCAGTCCGTCCGCGAACCAAGTAGCTCTGTGATGGAGGCGGTGTTTGAATAGGGTGTTGCATAGCACTAGTTGGTGGTCCTTGCAAAACTCAAGAAGCCGCTCTCCATTTGAATTTGATACTAAGTGCTTGGCATAGCTACCAACGGGGCCCTGGGTCCCGTTTCTTGAGCTGGCAATTTTTGCATTCATATCTCCCAACACCCAAACTTCATCTCGCTTGCCCCGGGGTACGTCTTTCACAATACTACTCAATAGTGAATAGAAGTTCTCTGCCTCTGCGGGGTTTGACGTGGAACTCAGCAGAGTCGGTGCATAGCAGCATATCACTGTGATGGACCTGCTGTCACGGCGCGAGCAGAGCTTGATTCTGATTGACACGACTCGTTCCGAGTGGCACTGATACGAGGCAACATTGTTTACAATTCTCTTATTTACCAGAATTCCGACACCTGCCCGAGACGACGTCCCCCCTGCGCGATACAGGGTATGGCCGTTGTCTAGAACGTCGACTCCATCACCATTAAGCCATGTCTCGGTAAGCCCAAGCACGTCAAGACGATACCGTTCAAAGTCCTGGATAATATTGACTTTTTTTATTTGACTTCGGAGCGAGCGAACATTGTACGTTCCCGCTCTACACGAAGGTGCCGTTTGGCCTCGGCTCACAAAAACCGAAGCAGCTTTCCCTACTCTGTCTAACTGTATTCTCATTTCCAGTCTCTTCTACTCGCGGAACAAGAAAACCCTCGCCGAAGCGAGAGCTCACGGGAGTTCAGACCGCCATCCACTTTGTCCTTTTTCCAGCTGTGTTTGCCTGTTTCAAAATCCAGGACTGGAACTTGGTACCTGCATACTGGTACTCAACTGTTCTTATCATGGCAATTTGTTTTGTTGTGTGGATGTGAGGGAAGCAGAGGGGGTTGTTGTGTGGGTGTGAATGAGGCGGGGGGGGGGGGGGGTAGGTAGGTACCGTAAAGTACCGCGTGAGCGCCCCACCAACTCGTCCGTTCGTGGTCGTGCTGTAGAGGTGGTATGTAGGTCATGTAACACCTACCTTGTACACACATTGCACACTTTGATGTCAATTCGCACGCAGTCTACCATGGAACTCCACACATGGACATGCTGACCTTTAACACTACATTTCTCCCACCGTACTAACTTCAGTTGCACTCTGCCATACGATTTTCTTTTCCTTGGTTTTCCTTGGTTATAAATAAATATAAAATGAAGGCGGGGGGGGGGGGGGGCGCTCTCGCAGTACTATACAATACTAGTAAAACAGGTACTACTGGTAGACATTAAAGTCATGTTGAATATTAGATCATTGTAGGCGATCAGTATAGCTGCTCATGCACTACTACTATCTCGATAGTATGCTGATAGGACATATGAAATCACATTTCTATACTCGCAGCTCGATATTGATATGATTGTGCGTGTGTGTGTGTGTGTGAGTGGTGTGTGTGTGTGTGTGTGTGTGTGTGTTGTTTGTGTTGGTGTGCGTTGGCAGCTACTGGCAGACACTGACTGCGTACCCCATTAGCCGGTGGCAGTATGGCTGTGGTTGGAGTGCATCCGCAGAGGCTTACCCAGGTAGGAACAGACACGTGCAATGTCACGGTGGTTCTTTTTCTTTCTGCAGGCAAACTGGGATGGTGCAATACGATGACTGAACAACAGATTGCAGTAGGTTCACTGAGTCCTGCTTGCAAGCGGAATTGTTTTTCTGGCCATAGTGCGAGCCACAGTCAACCCTGTTACTTCGACCGTACGGATATATTTATTAGTCGGCTACTCGTGACCTGGCATGAGGGTCGCATGGAAACAGCTAATTTTATTATCCGCCATTCACAACTTGAGTGGGTCTGGTTAACCCAAACTTACAGCTGTAAGAACTTCAACCACACCTTGACCCCGGAGGGTAGTGGAATTTCTGCTCGCGCTGTAAAGTGTAAAGTCCCTCTGGCCAACTCTTACTTGTGCTGTGACTTTTACTTCATTGCCTACAGGATGAAGTTGAAACAAAAGTTCAACTGCTGCGCAAGTATTTTGTTGATGGTCCTGGAAAAGACAGTGGAATTACATTAATGTACTTACATTATGACATTAACAGGTAGGTGTCAGCACAGCCCGTGGTGTGTGTGTGTTTGTCTGTCTGTCTGTCTGTCTGTCTGTCTGTCTGTTTGTCTGGCTGTCTGTCTGTCTGTCTGTGTCTGACTGCATGTCTCTGTCTGTGTCTGTGTCCCATACAGCACAGTGGTTTATGTAGTTCAATCACGAGATCGCGAGTTTTAAGAATGAAATGACACTTTACAGTGAAGCGTTTCATGCTACAAGTCCCTGTCGACGTGTGGTAGTAGGGTGCACTCTCCCCTTTTCGGCAGAGGTTCACAAATTTGATGGGAATAAAAGATTAACGGATCGTTACAGCTTTCTTAGACCACCAACTTTTGACGCAGAGGCCAGAAGATTGCTAGTACACACAGTGACATTAGTGGCAAAGGTATGTGTCATGGTGGGTGTGCAGGTATGGGTGTGCTGGCCCAGCAGTTTATTGGGATTGTGTTTCCCCTTCTATTTTCTCCGTCTGATTCTTCTACCAGGTACCACAGAATGACATCACTAAGTCACTATTACCACGTGTTTGGAGACTCGGTATGTTGTTTGACATCTACTCACTGCCTTGTTGCTGTGCTCTATCTGTGCCAGTGCATTTCTTTGTGACTGCACAACGTCAGTATTGTGAAGTGATATAAGTTACAACAGTGCGGCTCAATGAAGTCTGATTGTGTGAATCAAAGTTGTGCCCTGCACCATTTAGTAGCCCTGTGTTCGCAGGTCTAGGGCTGTACAGCGATCAGAGCCTGGTGGCATTCGATAGCTTGATCGGATTTCGTTGAGCAGCACTGTAGAACGAGAACGTCCCTGTAGATGAAAAGCGTGTACTCCGTCTCCCTCCTTGAGTAGTTGTCCTATGTAATGCAGACCAAGTTTTGGCAGTGCCTCTTTTCCCTGACCACTGAGTCTAAGCACTCTCTCTCTCTCTCTCTCTCTCATATTATATTATATTATATTCTGTGTATTCGCTTGGTCTTGTGCTTTTGTACTTATAGCATCTACATGAGAAATTGCTTGGCCTGACGTACATAATATCGGCTGATGCCTTCTTCCAAGGTAATGACATGTATGCTGGCACTTGTTAACTGGCTATCGTCATTGCTGCTCTGTGCATTCATTGCATAGCCACGTTCATTGCATAGCCACGTTCATTGCATAGCCACGTTCATTGCATAGCCACGTTCATTGCATAGCCACGTTCATTGCAAACCCACGTTCATTGCATAGCCACGTTCATTGCATAGCCACGTTCATTGCATAGCAACATTCAGTGCATAGCCACGTTCAGTGCATGGCCACATTCAGTGCATAGCCACGTTCATTGCATAGCCACGTTCATTGCATAGCCACGTTCATTGCATAGCCATGTTCATTGCATAGCCACGTTCATTGCATAGCCACGTTCAGTGCATAGCCACGTTCGTTGCATAGCCACGTTCAGTGCATAGCCACGTTCATTGCAGAGCCACGTTCATTGCATAGCCACATTCAGTGTATAGCCACGTTCACCCCATAGCGACGTGCTCATACTCATAGTGCCAGAGCCATGCAGAGCCACTCAGAGCCATACAGCAACTGTTTTATCTGAGGTCAGATTTTCCTTTTCACCATTCACTGCAGGACCATATCTGCCTGGATTATACAGGATTGCAGAGTTTTGCCCTCCCTCTGACCAGATCGGTTTATTGGATTATTCTGCTTGAAAGATTCCGATTCTTGCCACATAATTAGTTTCCACGGCAAGTTGCAATGGGAGTACACAATTCTCTTCTTATACTGTCTGTTTGTACCTCGGTGTGTGTGTCTGTCTGTGTCTGTGTGTGTCTGTGTGTGTATCTATGTGTGTCGGTGTGTGTGTGTCTGTCTGTGTGTTAATGGGTGTGTGTGTTTGTGTGTATCTATGTGTGTGTGTGTGTGTTTGTGTGTGTGTGCATGTGTGTCTGTGTGTGTGTGCATGTGCATGTGTGTGTCTGTGTCTATTTGTGTGTTTGCACAGTAAACACCCTTGCCACTGAACGTCTGTACACATTAATCTGTGACTGGTGCGATGTCAACGAGGACTCTATTGTCTTGGGTAAGCTCCTATGGACCTTACCTGACCATGCACTGAAATTTCACACTTTACCCACTGCACTGAACAAGTCCACAATGACCTGGTAATCGAGTTCACAGACACTTGTGTTACCATATGCTGTCATAGGATCTCATGTGTATTTGCTCCCGTGCACATGGTATTGTGCTCTTGATGTCTGTCCACCTGGTCCACTGGGCAAGCTCCACAGCTGTAGCTCATAATAAAGACATAATTATAATAATATTATATCCCGCAGAAGTCTCCCCTATCCTGGATATGTTCAAGTCTACCATCCTGGCTATGTGTATGGGCTTTTTCTAGACCTCTGCGGTCTGCAGGGCTTTTCAACAGGGGGGGGGGGGGGGGGAGGGGGGGGGGGGGGTAGTGTGTTTGTTGTCTATGTTCACGCTGACGTGTGGATGCATTTATTGCCATCTTGTGCTGCACGTGTGGACCTGGTGCACCTCGTGTGTGTGCATGCGTGTGTGTGGATGCATGTGTGCATGTGTGTGTGCATGTGTGTGTGCATGTGTGTGTGTCTGTCTGTGTGTGTGTATGTGTGTATGTGTGTGTGTGTGCGTGTGCGTGTGAGTAGGTGTGTGTACATGATGTTTTTGTGCATGCTGGCAGGCATCACCAATGCTGAGTTTATCTGTGGCAAAGCAGAATTTTGTCATGGACGGGCTGATGAAACGATACGGCCGCAACCCCAACCTGGTCGTCGCTGTTGATCCACCAGACCACCACGAGCTGGCTTGCGTAAGTGTTTCATTTGAAAGTGTCACATTTCAATTGCATTGTACTCTTTAACTTCATCTACGGAGACTCCTTCGATTTAGGCTATAAAGGACTGTGGAGAATCCGTGAATACAAATTTTGTAAGTGTGAACACGAGCAGTATCGTAGATAGATTACTGCACTCTTGGTATGGTAGGAAGACTGCAGTATTGAGGTTCAACTGACGGAATGACAGTTTGCACTGCAAGCAAGTGCAGGACAAACAATCAAAAAGCAACTGTTGCACGCTAGTCACTACAGGCACGGGGCACTTGTTGACTCGTCGCAAATTGCACTCAATAGACACCCTTAGCAAAAAACGTTATGTTGTAACGGTATTACCGTAAGGGGGAAAATACCGTGATTTGGGTTCGACCTTTAGCAAGATGCACTCTATTTTGTTTAGTATGCTGTTACCACGAGAATAGCTTTTATTCCCGTAGCTATGCAGAAGACGTTACTTCAGTAACGTCTGGCGCTAGCCAGGGTCCACACAGCTTTAATTTGGTGTTTGTTTGTTTGTTTGTTTGTTTGTTTGTTTGTGTCACGCCTGGCGCTATCCCGTATCTGTCCCGTACCGTACCGTACCGTACCAGCCAAGACAGCTGGCCACAATATATTTTGGTTTGTTTGTGCCATCGGCATGCCTGGCGCTATCCCGTACCTGTCCCGTACCATCAAGAATACGGTACAATCAAGAGAATGAGTATATATGCGGAGTGTATCGGGGGAATGCATTCAGTGCAGTAACATTTTGTGTGGATTTGTGTGCGAGGCCGAGATCCCACTAGCAGGCTGGCTGGGCCGCCTGTCGACCAGCCCGGGAATCGCATGTAGGCCGATAGCATAATAATTATAACGTATATAGATGTATAGCAGGGAGTCGTATTATGTAAACGACTCCGTGCTGTCTAGGGAGATTTTCTTGAAAGAAATACGAAGTAGGGAGATGAAGAAATGCAATTAGAATGGACGTTAGTTGCCGAATATGTGACATGATGCGTCAGCTAAAACAACCTTTGGAAGAGAGATCCCGTCGTCTCCAAAATAATCCTGAACGGGCGAGTCAGCGCCAGTCACAGGAAACGTCGGAAGAGAGATCCCGTCGACTCCAGAACGTCCGTGATCGGCAGAGTCAGCGCCGGTAACAGGAAACGTCGGAAGAGAGATCCCGTCGACTCCAGAACATTCGTGATCGGCAGAGTCAGCCCCGGCCACAGGAAACGGCAGGACAGACATCGCGTCGACTCCAGAACGCCCGTGGTCGGCAGAGTCAGCGCCGGTCACTAGGGGTGTGCGGATAATGCTCGAAAAGGTGGCAGATTCTGCTCGAAAAGCAGTGAAATTGGCAGAACCATACAAACCTATGGCGGGCAATTCCACGAATTCTGCTCCATTTCTTTATCCACATACCAAACATGCAGGAAACTTACCAAAAAAGTACCGAATTTGCCAATTTTTGCCGGCATTATCCGCATATGCCTACCGTTCACAGGAACCGTAACAAAAAAATTAAAAATTAAAAATATACAAAAAATATTTACGCCGTAGTAGTGCAACAGACGTTACTTCAGTATCGTTTGGCGCTAGCCAGGGTTCACACGGCTTTGGCACGTCACATGCATGATGAGCAAGCAAAAAAGCATAGCGTAGGGCCCTGAGCTTCCAAGCTCCCTCGTTTCGTGCAGTACAACCATTTTTGTCACCCTATACGCGGTACAAGGTGAAATGCGTACGGACTATGCAATATTTGGCCAAAACACGTACCGTAGGTCACAACGATAAGTCAGCCCCCATAACGTTTTTACGCTGCAGCTTCGACGCTATTTGGATGATCAAGGTACGAGTACCGTAAAAAAAATAGCGTTACCGTTGTTTGCTAAGGCAGTAAGGGTGTGTACTACTAGTGTTGCACAGTAACAGTATCAATAGTGTCAGTAGTCTGAACTTACACACTTTCCAGGCATGCAATGATCGTGCGTAGACGCATACCACTAGCAATCTCTTATCGAGCACAATCGCTAACAATAACCCTAGCTGACGGACGAGTGCTCGAGTACTCAATACGATTCTTTGACATATCGGGCAGATCCTAATTTGTTTGTCTGTGCGTGCACGTGTGTGTGTACGTGTGTGCGTGTGTGTGTGTGTACGTGCATGTGTGTGTGCATGTGTTGTATATGTGTGCACGTATGTTTGTGTTCACATGCACACAACCAGACGTATCTAGATCCGGATGTGTGCCAGCTAATTCGCAAGACCTCTGCCCTGAAACGTCTTGTCTTCGTCGCCTGCAACCTCGATCAATTTAAGGACAACTTGTATTGTAGTAAGTTCTTGATCATGCTGATGTTGACAATGATATTGATATTGGCAAGAGTACATACTCCCCAAGAGTGTGCAACTGTCTGCACAACCTATATACAATACTCCCACAGCAGAACTTCACATCGCATATTATAAACATGGTTCAAACGGTTACGCTGGCAAACAGTGCAAAGTGAACACAAGAGAGTTGAACCCAAAGCTGTATCTGTCATACACGGGGTGCAAAGCATGTGTACAGGTTCATCACGTGATGTGAAGTTCTGCCCTTGCAGACCCCATAGCGGGAGTTGCACACTCTTGCTGTCTTGGGGTTTATATACTCTTGGTATTGGTGTGGAGTGTTCGCACAGTCAACGCAGTGGTGGTTTGTAGTGTATTTTGCAGTTTGAACTTTTCGACACCTGAACGTACATGAAGAGTCTTATAAGCCATATGCAAGTAGCGTTGTACAGATGCACGAAATCCCGTGCAATCTCGTAGAATCCCGTAGACCCGGTTGGGTGTTGAATTTGCAGGACCCTATTGTGTTTATTGCTATTTCCACTAAGAAATGTGCCCTGAAGGCATTTCAAAAGAAAAATTCTGACAAAGATCTAGCTAGTCATTAGTTCTAACCAAAGTGAAGAAGCAGGAAAAGTGATTGTTTGCCATTCATTATGAGGCTAAAATTGGTCAAATGCGCATGCATAGCACACGATGAACACCCAGCCATGCATAGCACACAATGAACACTGAACTGGGTATGTACACACCTACGGTCCCAGTACAGAACTCTGTACATCTGTACAACGTGCATAAGGTCTAGTAGCGGAGGCCTGCATGACTTGTACCGTATGGGGCACTATAGGCCGATCACGCTCACTGCTCGGGTCGCGTGACTGTCTTCAGCGGTCCATAGTTCTGAAAGTATCCTTGCGGTGTTGCATGCTTACTGTACTTGCTTTGCACAATGCAAGCATCTTCTGATGTGTGCTGGAAGTCAAGTTAGTCAGCACTTTACTTCCAGCAAATGCCTAGGCCGAAAATAGCCGAAAATAAATAAATAAATAAATATGCAGTCAAGTCGTTTGCTTCACTGCCCGAAGAGTGCTCAATGCTCAATACGCATGTAAGGCAGAGCCTTGTACACAAGAAACTTGCCTGATGATCGTAGTAATACGTGAAACTCAGAGTTGTAACAAAGCTTCCAATCTCTCTCTTGTAAATAAATATAAATATGCTGCGAATATGCGAATATTTGTTGACTTCAAAGTGCAGTGCATAATGCGTTGCTTGTTCTGTTTATCCATGTACACAGCCTATGCAAACATCCCAACAGTGCAATCAATACAATGTTTATCCATGTACACAGCCTATGCAAACATCCCAACAGTGCAATCAATACAATGTTTATCCATGTACACAGCCTATGCAAACATCCCAACAGGGCAATCAATACAATGTTTGTCCATGTACACAGCCTATGCAAACATCTCAACAGGGCAATCAATACAATGTTTGTCCATGTACACAGCCTATGCAAACATCCCAACAGTGCAATCAATACAATGTTTGTCCATGTACACAGCCTATGCAAACATCCCAACAGTGCAATCAATACAATGTTTATCCATGTACACAGCCTATGCAAACATCCCAACAGTGCAATCAATACAATGTTTGTCCATGTACACAGCCTATGCAAACATCCCAACAGTGCAATCAATACAATGTTTATCCATGTACACAGCCTATGCAAACATCCCAACAGTGCAATCAATACAATGTTTATCCATGTACATAGCCTATGCAAACATCCCAACAGAGCAATCAATACAATGTTTATCCATGTACACAGCCTATGCAAACATCCCAACAGTGCAATCAATACAATGTTTATCCATGTACACAGCCTATGCAAACATCCCAACAGTGCAATCAATAAAATGTTTGTCCATGTACACAGCCTATGCAAACATCCCAACAGTGCAATCAATAAAATGTTTATCCATGTACACAGCCTATGCAAACATCCCAACAGTGCAATCAATACAATGTTTATCCATGTACACAGCTTATGCAAACATCCCAACAGAGCAATCAATACAATGTTTGTCCATGTACACAGCCTATGCAAACATCCCAACAGAGCAATCAATACAATGTTTATCCATGTACACAGCCTATGCAAACATCCCAACAGTGCAATCAATACAATGTTTATCCATGTACACAGCCTATGCAAACATCCCAACAGTGCAATCAATAAAATGTTTGTCCATGTACACAGCCTATGCAAACATCCCAACAGTGCAATCAATACAATGTTTATCCATGTACACAGCCTATGCAAACATCCCAACAGGGCAATCAATACAATGTTTATCCATGTACGCAGCCTATGCAAACATCCTAACAGTGCAATCAATACAATGTTTGTCCATGTACACAGCCTATGCAAACATCCCAACAGTGCAATCAATACAATGTTTATCCATGTACACAGCCTATGCAAACATCCCAACAGTGCAATCAATACAATGTTTATCCATGTACACAGCCTATGCAAACATCCCAACAGTGCAATCAATACAATGTTTGTCCATGTACACAGCCTATGCAAACATTCCAACAGTGCAATCAATACAATGTTT